TTGTTCAATCCATCACTTGTTTATGAGCCAATCAATGAGGAAAACATCAGTTCAATTATCCAAATACCAAACTGTTGTTCCTCTACATCTGATCAGAGTTCTGAAGATCGACGAAATTTGACTGAAGTTCTAGTCGGTGAAGAACGCAACGTTCTTCATGGATCCACAGGAGATAAACGATTTCACAAAGCTAGGAGTTGCTGTAGGATAGCAGAATCCAAGAGAGCTTTGGAAACTGCAGTTGGGAGTGGTGCAAGAGCACAGAATCTAGGAAAGCTGTTGGAATTGCAGTCAGGAGATCAGATAGTAGATGTCATCGTCTAGGCTGGTAGACTGTAAGTTACACATCGTTTATAGTGGATTGTTGACTGGCAAAGTGCCCGGAGTTTTTCCCAGTTGGATTTCTCTGTGATCATTCTTGTGTTCTTTACTGCTTTATTATTTATGGTATGCAAACTGCAGTAATTCAACATAGGATAATTTGACTTCCATGATTAACCATCTAGATAAGAATTAAAAGTGACTTGTTGCTGTTTAATTCGTGATTGATTTTAATTCCCCAGAAAATACCAATTCACCCACCTCTGAGTATTGTTAGGGTCAAACTGCGTAACTTTCAGAAAACATGAGTTTTCATTTGTTTTATGTGTTTTTGTGTGCTTTAATTAAAAAAAAAAATTAAAATTTCTAAAAAATTCAAAAATATTTTCTTTATGCAAGCTTATATGAGTTAGTTGGTCTGACTGACAATGATGAATGTATTTAATCATAAATTGAACTATGAATGATAAATTAGTTGGATGCTTAGATTAATTTTTGTTTTTTCATATGAAATTGGATATATATTGAGCACATGAATTAAATTAAGTATTGTGTATGAATGAGTTGAATTTATAATTGGATATGTTGAAATAGTGAACCATAGAAACTAAACCCAAAACCACAAAATTTTACATCCTTGGACCAAATTTAGAATAGTTTGGGGGATTCCACTGTTGTGGGAAGATATTGAGATAAATGAGGATTCCATGTATGAAAAAAACATTTCTTGTGTGGATTGTCTAGGTCAATAGGATGAACTTGGGGTGAAAATCTCAAGTTAGAGGTTGTTTTTCTTAAATTGATATTTAATTAGGGATAGTGCACTAATCAAGGCATAAAAAATATATTATTTTATTTAAAAATGTCTCTTCATAGCCTTTATGACTCGAGCAATTAAACCTACAAGGGTTTTTAAAACTTCGTGCCCTATGATCATCTGACTTGGGAGTCATCGGCCGAAGGCTTGTTACATGAGTCATTTAGAAAGTTTAAGGATGAGAATGCTTCAAATAAAAAAAA